AGTAAGTAGTAATTTAGTAACTTATAGATGGTTATGTTAAAAAATAATTGATAAGGGCAATAAAGTATACATATGTTGGTTTGATGAGAAGAAAATAGGTATAACAGTAAAGGATTTTTTTTGTTAACCGATATTAATTATAACAACTAACAATGGAATGATAAGGATAAGGGATACAGTTAATGATACATATATGTACTACCATAACAAAAGGAACGTGGACACAAATTGTAAACAGTGATTTGTCAACTAATTTTTGTTTAGAATATGTTATAAAGGTTTAAGGCTATTGGATGACTCTGTAATAATTAATGAAATTAATTATTAGGTGGTTGTGTTTTTTAACTAGGGATTATTCTAGGCAAAAGGACACTAAAACAATTTCAGTTAAATGAGAACTATGATATGTTGAAAGTAAGACTCATTAAGTACTTTGACATTTGATATGAATGTAAGTAATAACTGGAAGAGATGCACAAAAGCTAATTGTAACCAATTGACACACTTTCTACAAGATGTAATGTAAGATGATTATTTTTTGTGGGTGTTGTTTGTTTAATAAAAAAAATGTAAATATAAAATAAAATAAAATCTTAATAGCAACTGTCAAGCATGAAACTTGTAGTATCCTACTTTGGGGATATTTTGCTTCCTTGGGACCTAAACTATTTCTGATCTTTGAAGAAATTATCAATCTGCTTTTTATCAGAAAATTGTACAGGAGAACATTAGAACCTTTGTCAGTTGAACCTGAACTGCCAGTGAGCCATGCAACAAGACAACATGGCCATGCCTTCAAGAAAATACACAAAAGAATGAATGAACAAGAACAAAATACAAGTTTTGGACTAGCCAAGCCCAGACTTGAACGCAGTGGGAATGTTTCTTTAAGATCTGAAATAATAAGTTAATGCAAGTAAAGTTTCAAATACTACTGAGTTGAAGCAACTTGTCATGAAAGAATAGATCAGAATATTCATATAGTGATATGAGAAATTGTTCACCAATTATAGGGTGATTTTGTTGTAGTTACTGCAGCTAAAAGTAGTTAATCAATTACAAACTTGAAGAGGCAATTAGGTTTTCATGCTAGCTTATCCCATGTTGCATGTCTTTGATTATGAAATGAATTTCTCAGTTAACATGCATATCATTGAGCAACAGCTATTGGTGCTGCTTGTTTACTCGGATTCTTTATATAGAATCCACATTAACATTCAGCAACGAAATAAGTACAAATTCAGAATCCAGGTACTTTTTTCACAGAATCACAATGATCTCTAAAATGTTTCAAAAGGTTATGTTTTTAAATCTATATTGTTGCAACTCCCCCTCTCTCTCCCTCTCTCCCCCTCTCTCTCTCTCACACACATTGTATTTCTACATAGAAATTACTGACAAATTGCTATAATTAACATATAGGTCCCATTCATGAAGAAGATGATGTTTCAATTCAAGACTGGGACAATTTTAAAATGTTATTTAAAGCTTTATACATTTAAATGTTATTTAAATGTTGGCCTCGTATATTTCTGAGTGAATTTGTTGTGGTACGTGGTATGACATTTCAAAGTGTGGATTTTTTGGTTTTTAAGAAAAATAGACCATACCAGAAAAGTGGCTTATTCTATTATAAAATGGTAGGGTATGATATGTCTATAATAAGAATTAAGAAAAAGTGATGTCCCAAAATAGGGAAATGTCATTTGTTTTCAATTGTACAAATAAAAGAACAGAGGAAATGAATGATATAACCACTAGCTCGGTTGTTAGGAATTTTGGCAACATCGGTTAAAAACTACGGTTTTTTTAAGATTACAGGGAGTGCCTCTGCTTTCTGACAAATTTTAGAATGGACAACATCTTTACATTTGGGGGATAATTACTAGGTTATATAAATAAAAATGATTTCTTGTTTCTTAGGTAAAATAAAGATATGTGAGAATTTGTGAAAAACATTCCATAGAGATAAAGTTTAAAGGCTTAGTGAAAATATTTTTCTGATTGTGAGGGTGCGATGTCACGTTTCAAGGAAACTTTGTGCCTTGTAATTCATTAGCAAGAGGGTGAATGTCTTCTATTAAGCATTGTATTGGAGGCCTAAAAAGTATAATCTTTTTTGCTTTATCTGTAAAAACAAGCAATCTGTAATTACTGTATATTTTTCTTTTGATCCATTTTACAGTAGTTTCCAACACCTTGCTGGCATTTCATTTGTTAATTATTCTGGATTGAAAAATGTAGTTGTGATATTAAGATATTGTTCAGTATTGAGAAGCTTTTTCAAAACAGGAACAAAAGTCATGCTTGCTTGCTTAATTAATTAATGTCCACAGATGACTCTAGTGGCTTACAAATATTAAAACTGCACATTAAAATAATAAATAATAAAGCACTAAATCAGTGTTTTTCAACCTTTTTTGTGCAAAGGCACACTTTTTTCATGAAAAAAATCACGAGGCACACCACCATTAGAAAATGTTAAAAANAGGCCACACCTACAGAAGAGGTTCCAAAATTTTTTGAAATCCACCACTGCCCCACCCCCATTTTAGCAAATAGGAAAAAATCCACGATACATTCACATGACAATGCGAATTTGACACCCCTGGTATAGGATATGCCACTGATGTGTTGAATTTTTATCCTTTATACCAGGGGTGTCAATTCATGGCCCAAGGCCGCGGGGTGCTTAGATCTGGCTCCCAAGAAACAGCAAAGGACCAGCCTGTGGTGCCTTTGCCAGCAAAAACAAAGTTCGGGAGGGCCGTGTGTAGGTTGCAGGAGTCCATCACAGCCAAAAATGGAGCTTGGGAGCCCGTTTTCACTGGCAGAGTGCTCAAGCCACCACGATAGATGCCCCCGACACAAGTAACATTGAGGTGGCCCTGGCCATGCCCACCCTGGCCCCGGAGGTCAAACACAGCCCTGATGCAGCCCTCAATGAAATCAAGTTTGACACTACTGGTTTATACCATAGCCACTAAACAAAGTCTAAAAAATGTAAAAGTGGAAGCATCTTGAAAATCATGTATATTCTTTCATATTACGTTTACATATTGCATATTACATTACATGTAAGTAATATTGTCTAATAAAAGAACATGGGTATATTTAGCTTATGAAGATTTTACTTTTACCAAAATAACAGTAATCAGAGCATTCCACATATGAGAATAATTAAATTTAAAATAACTTGTATTGATTTTAAAAATGATTACAACTGAATTTTCCTTCCTTTCTTTTTCCTCTTCTCCTTTCTAGTACCTCTCCCTTTTTTTCTTTTTGTTTTGTTTTTTGATTTCTTAAGTCTTCCTATATTATGTTATAAATATCTTATGCTAGCTAGACAGATTATATCGAACCAGCAAATTTCTTATTTTTTCCAACTTTTTGTTTGTTTGTTCAGTGCTTTTTGTCAGGCAGAAAATACTTCTCGATTGGATTATTTCTTCAGCCTGTTTTTCCAGCAAGTTCTTCAGCATGCCAACTCCAATGCCAACCCTGACTATGATAACAGCTCATTACTTTTATACAACTTTCCAGGAGTACGATGGCTGTTGCTACCCCAAAATATTAAAGTAAGTTAGATTACAGATTTTTAAAAATCAGACATTAGTCTAATTGAAGTTATGCATAGACATTTTCATGTATGTGCCAATGTTCCCTCTAATTTTTTTTCAGTGTGAGCAGAAAAGTATAGTGTTTGAGCGGCACATTTTCATGCCTGA